ACTTAGCGACTGTCGTGTTGATTTCTGTTCCAAAAGCCACGATAGCATAAAGGGCTGCGTATCCCGCATCTCAGAGCTAGTAAAAGGTGGCAGTGAGCGACAAAAGGCTTCGTTCTTCAAATGGAAAGAGAACGTTGGATTGACTAGTCATGAGAAATTGGAAACACTAACTGTGATAGCCGACGTTCGAGCGAGTCCTTCGCTCTGGTACAAACTTGGTGACAAAGTCGGCTCCACTACCTTCCATGAAGGCGATCTCATCGTCATTCTTGCCTTTCGTCCCACGCATGTAATGATCAGACCCACTACCTCGAAGTGATGGGTTCTGATGTCTGGCTCCTGTGTTATCTCGCCCGGCTAAAGCTTATTTATACAGTTGTCATGACGTGACAGTGAAGACGCAAGATCAGAGGCCTTTCGAATTTGTCTACCGTTCCATCGCTGATATAAGTTTACGGCAAAATCTTCGACGCTGGTTTTTGCGATCTTCAGAGCTGGTTTTCCTATGGCCTCGATTCCTTTTTTTTTTTGATCAACTCCAGTCGATCTAAGTTTATTTTCCAAATTCTCTTTCTCCATTCCAGTATAAACTGGTGGGAATGCGAGATTTGGATGTTTCATTGATGTGGGTAAGATCTGCAAAGCTGAGCAGGTGCGATTAAATCCTCTTGCCGTTTCTCTACTGTTTGTATTACTACGATTCCTGCCGATACTCCTATGTCTTGCTCTATTTTCTAGGGACGATTCAGAGAACCCATATCATTATAACTTAGACCACCAGTACGCGCACTGGCTTAACCGGATATTCTTTGGGCCAATTACGTACAGCTTTGCTACAACGCAGAAACTAGTGAAGATAACCCTCGGGGCACACTATTTGCAAGTAAACGCTCCTCGGAATTGAGAAAGTCGCAACTAGCCCAGAGCCTTACCATCTGGCTTCCATTTCCTAGGTCCGACTTATTACTATCCAACGGCAATTTCGATCTCGTGGTTGTTCATCTCTACCCATGATCCATGCTAATATGGCACTGCATCTATCCCAGGGCCAAAATCACTTTCTGTTGCATCTCCTCTGAACCCAGCATGAGTCCTCCATAGATGAACTTAGTGGTCCAAAGGAGCTTATGAGAAGTCTTATGACGCAACACATGTGTACTAATGGCCTTCGACTGCCACTCCATCGGTAAACGCTCCTTCGGTCATAGAATCAGATGGTTGGACGTAAAATCACTTTGCCTGATCTTCCGGGAGATGTTTTCTGCATCCCACACTTGACAAACACATTGTCTGTGTGATTGATGATGTTAGCGCACAGGAGAAAAGTTCTAGTCTAAAGACCTCTATACTATAATCCAGATGCTGTACCGGATCAATCAAAAAGATGCATGTCTGGCTATTCCGAAAGCCCTTACCACCAGCCCGACTGAGAGGACATACATCGAACGGACGCCTCCAGTCAGAAATCGAATTCTGCTGCAACGCGGTGTACCACGTGGTGCTTGCCCGCCGAAACGGAGAATCCATGATAATTTCACACGGATAGGTTGTCACTCTTCTTTAGACAAAGAGCTATATCAACAGCAGGAAGGCCTCCAGGAAGAGATTTTTGGGTGAATCCGACCAGCCTCCAGTTGAAACATTATAACACTTGAACAATTTTGTGGCCCTGATATCAAGGTTCAGCAGCTGTGAAATATTGGACTATCCAATGAATGAAGGTAGTAGTGCTTGACTTCAAAATAAGACTTCTGGTGACAATTTAAGCCATATCGCCACAAGCATGCTACTCGGCAAATTATCAAAGGCGGAGTCTACCACCAACGGGCCCGGTCAGGAAATGAAAAGGTATCCATTGATCCGAAAATCCAACTTTGAGTCCCATAGGCATTCCTTCGTTTCTCTCCCCCCACTTTGTCATAGTTTCTTGGCTGTTAGGTCTAAGCGTCCCTCTAGCAGGGGTTCGTGCAGGCCGGCGGGCAGACAATCCAATCATGTAGGTGCTGCATGCCGGGTTCCCCTCACCTCGCCTCACTTATTTATCGTCTTATTGTTGATGCTTCCTCCCACTAAATCATCTAGTGATTGTGGATATTCATATACGCTCGTTATTACTACGCACTGGGTTATCCCATCCTATGGCCCAAGATGATAGACAGGCGAACGGAAAATAACTACTAGCGGCTGCTATATCAAACAGCACACTCCAGTCATTATATTTTCGACCCGATATACTCGAGGTTGAAAGACTTTAAGGTTCGGGCCCCCGTTCCTTCGAACTGTGGACCTGGAATGCGGTGGAGAATATGGTAAGGCACCTGGTCATTGCTGGAGGGGCTGAAACCACGCACGGACTTTGTCGGTTGCTTTTCTTGAGAACAATGGCATATTAACAACCCCACGTTCGTAAGTCTCCTGTAAGCTAGCGGGGGGCGGCACTATACGCAGTTTTGGATGTTGAGTTGAGATGGTGTGATGAGCACCACTGAGTGCGGTGAAGTGTCTTGAAAAGACCCAACGAGACTCGGGTCTGGCGGCTTCACCCATCCATTCTTCGCTCGATTGTACGTCCACCCCTCCCGCACCCCCCTTCTTTCCTCACACCCTCAAGTTATGATCCTTTGTTTGTGATTGATTCATAGACTGATTCTGGCTTGGTCACCTGCAGCTCTTCTCGTATTTGATGCTGTGTGTATACGCACCGTGCTATGCTATCAATCAAATGCTGTTAGCTTTTGCCAAACTCTTGTTCTGCTGGCTATGTCGCCTATTGCGCTTTTATTTTATGCGCTCATATGTGGGAATGGTGCTCGAGAGTATCCCAGGTTGCCATGGGCAAGATCCTTCGGCTTGTTGAATAGTTCTGTATAGTATATCTGAGTAGATAGCGCCATCAGATTATTTTGTAGTTCTCCAATTCACACCAAAATTGTAGTATCAAGTCATAGATATGTTTATGTACAGCGTCAGTGCGATATTTATCAAATTCCTAATTGCCCAATCACACTTAAGTGTATTTTCTCACCCGCAGGCCGCGTCGACCCCTCGTCTAGAGAGGGGATGGCCTCTTTGTCGCAGAGTGTCCTATGAACTATTGACACGCTGGCCTGCATCGTCGGCTGTCAAAAGAGGGGCGGGAACCGGGAGTATAAAGACAATCCCAACTGGTTGAGCTCCATATCAGGAATTGTGCTCTCGGGCGTAACTGAGCCATGATGCCTGTCATGTCGGCTTCTAAGTCGACCTCGAACGGCCGGTGCAGGGGTCAGTGAGCGATGTGCAACGAATTAGAGATGCGGAAAACACCGGCCAGTTTTAGGCTATATCGTATAAGCAACTATCTGGCTAAGGATTAGTACGCCCTTCTCACACCCCCCAGTAACGGGCAAATGATGCGTCTCCTCAAAACCCTGGAAGTGTGTTAGGGTATCAACAAAGAACTATTTAAGGATGAGCATGCGCGATACTGAACACGTTTTTCTTTCCATCCCAACAAACTCTCCTCCTTGCACTTGGCCAAAATGACCGTCACTTCCCATATCGAAAACTACAACCAGTACACATACTGGACTTCTCCAGACCGGAACTTCCGATCCTCTGCCCGCATGCACCTCCAGCATTTCCTTTACCAGAATACCCTTGGCTATCTCCTAGAGTCCGCTGTCGAGAAAGCCGTGACCTCCGCCCAGCAGCCTCTTAAAATCGCCGACCTCGGCTGCGGCAACGGCATCTGGCTGACAGAGCTGCACGGCGCGTTATCGAAGAAAAACATCACTGCCCAGCTTGACGGCTTCGACATCAACCCCATCCACTTCCCGGCACCCGCCTACCTTCCTTCCTCGATCTCCCTGCAGCAGCTAGACATTCTCGCCAATCCCCTCCCCGCCCACCTTCTCGGCACCTACGATGTGGTGCACATCCGCTCCTTTGGTAGCACTGTCTCAGGCACTGATCTTCTTACTCCCACACTATCCGTGGCCTCGTCACTCTTGAAGCCCGGTGGCTACTTGCAGTGGGAAGAAAATCGCGGCGACATATTCCTCGTCGAAGCACCAAACTCCAAGATCCCTACTGCAGCCTGCGAAAGCGTTATGCAGGTGCTTAAGGGCGGTCTTAAAGCCAAGGGCATCAGCTACGCCTGGATAGACGAGCTCGATACCCCCCTGACGGAATTCGGGTTCCAGAATGTGCGCCTTCTCAAACAAGATAAGCGCAAGTTCGACTACAAGGCTTGGACTGATACATACCTCTTGATTTTGGAGGACCTGACTCCTTTGTTTCCAACCAAGGCTGAAGCTCCAAATGCGCCTCTGTCTCGTGAGGCTTGGATTGATATGTTTTCTGCTGCGGTTAAGGAGACGGAGAAGGGTGTTGTATTTCATCAGAACCGTATTATAACGGCTGTGGGCCAGAAGCCGCTTGCGTGAACTTCGTTTCGTGTTCTTGGGAAGGTATTCTATATCTAGGCTCACTATCTGGATGTGTCCAATTGGACTTCTGTCAATGTTGTCTATCTTCTATGGCTTTGATAATCAATGCGTTACTCGTACAATTGTTGATGACCTCCCTCTCTGAAGCGGGGTAGCATAAAGAAGTCCACAATGTAGAGGGTTCTTTAGCTCGTGAGGAGTTGATATTGTCCTATCATCTCAGGCTCGTTATGAAATTGTATCTGCTAATACCTCTGTCACAAGACGTAATAGATGTAGGCAGTCTATATATCATCCCATTTTAGAGATACGATCAATCTCAGGTCACATATCGATACGGAAACCATAGTATTTTTGAAGCATCATCGATGCTACAAGCTCAAAGGGGCCTATCGGGCCATCAACTTGACTAGTCAATTACTAGCCCCTTACTTGAATGACTCACTAGATAAGCACCAACCAACTATATAACTATAATCCAATGCTGAACCAATTCCCTCGTCTTTCTCTATGACTCCCATCATCCCTCCCAAAACATCATCTCTAATTCTCTCTGCCTGCCACCACACCATGGACCACTTCAACCAAACAGCCAACATCGGCACCCACACCCTCAGCTACGCCCTCCGCGGCCCACCCCGCCAACCCAACACTCCCCTCGTAATATTCCTAACCGGAATCACCAGCAGAATGGAGCGCCGTATGCCGTCACCTCTCCACCGACGCATCCATCCTCCTCTACGAGCGATCCGGATACGGCCGCAGCGAACCATCCCCAAACCCACCCGACTCTCTTACCGTCATTAACGAGCTCTGCCAACTCCTTGACGCCGCAGATTTAGCCCCGCCATACTTCGTCATCGGACACTCCTGGGGTGGTATCCTGGCGCGGGAATTCCTCGCCGCCCGACCAGACGATATCTGCGGCATGGTGCTCGTAGATCCAGTCCAGGAGCGTATGATGATGGAAACGTGGCCGGATCCGAGCATTGCTGCTGTCACCGATGGCTTGGATTACATGGATGTCGTTGGGCTGGTGCGCGATCGTGTGCTGACTGATGAAGAATGGGACGATTTGATGGCTGAGGAAAATAGTGAAAAGCACGCGAAACAGGCGGCACTAGAAATGCCGTTTTTGCAGGTCAGTCGGGGTGTTCTGGCAGAGAAGGAGCAACTTGTTCCTGGGAAGGATATCATGAGGGGAAAGCCGTTGAGTGTGCTGGGAGGAAATTCGAAGAGGGATCATGAGCTGTTGTATGAGGCTGGTGTGGCCAAGGAGGGAGGTACGAATGCGCAGCGGGAGAGGTTTAGGGAGTGTCTGGCGAGGTGGGAGAGGTGTGAGGAGGAATTTCATCGGGAGTTGTTGAATTTGTCGAGTCTTGCAAGGTATTCGGTGACGAAGCGGAGTGGGCATAATATCCAGCTGACAGAGCCGGAATTGATTGCCGATGAGGTTCGTTGGGTTTTGAAGATGATTGATGAATGATGTGGTAGGCATTTTGTTTCCACTTGGGGGGGGGCAGTTGGTAGAAAGATATAGGATATAGCGGTTGTCTTCTCTGAGCGCAAATACTCGGTATAGTGTCTTCGACGCAAAGAATATGGAAAGTTCACGATCAATCCCATGGGAACTGGCAATGACGCGCGTCAGTATAAGCCAACGGTGGTGACGATGATACTATGAGATACCATGTTGCTGCCGGTGACAGGCTCAAGCAACTTACATGGAGCTTCGACTGCAGGCTTTGCGAAATTTCGTCACAATGAACTAGACATTTATAGAAGGAGCCAATCTGGCAGAAGAGTGCACTCATGCTGACCCGTTGCTCGAGAATTCCTGGAGGAGTGAAGCGTCCAATCTGCAGCAATTCAAATTGAATCAGGTACGATAAATTGTTGAGGCATTCACTGCAGCCAGGCAGCTGTCAGCTGATCCTTCGCCTCTTCTTCCTGCGTGGCCTCCGACCACCACCTCAACCAATCAACCACTCAGCCCCTTGAGTTTTGATAGATCAAATCCATATATCTTTGACCCTTCGTCTTGACATAAATCTCTCCAACGATCTGATCAAGTGAGCCACTGACAGGTTAGTCTACATGGATACTGCTGGCCTGAAGTGAGAAATTGGAAATTACTTTTGACATAAGCTGTCGAGGAGTTTGTACATTCAGTAAAGGACTTTCGAGAAACTGAAGAAAGAAAAGCTATCTACAACAACGGAATCAGGCCACTTTAATATCACGGTGGCCGATCATACATCCGGTAAGTCTCTTTCACCTCTTCCACCTCCTGTTGTCAACTTCTTAATCTATCTCAAACCTTCCCGGGAGCCCTTCAGCTCGTTTCTACTAACTTCATTGGCAGGTTCCATCTTTGGAATAGAAATCCGGTTCTCGAAGCGGTTCGTGTCACGTGACAAAGCATGGGAGGCCAAGTGTGTTGACCGATGAGGAAGAAAAAGGAAGGGGGGACTGAGGTACACGCAGACGGGCCATCTGGTGTCCTCGACGAGCAGAGGAAGAAGAAGAACTCATGGCGGGAGGGGGGAAGAGAAGAGAGAAACAAGACAGATAAACAACGGACAAAGTAAAGCTTGTGGTGGAGGGGAGAGAACACAGACAAGCAACGCTGAACGAAAAAGTGGTATGAGGAGGAGAAAAGGAAGAAGAGAGGAATCCTCAAAGGAAAGACTGGATCGCAGACGGGATATCTGGTGTCCGAGACGAAGAGACGAAGAAGATTCCATTTAGTAAAGGGGGGTAGAGAAGCAAGGCAAATAGACCGGTACAACAGAACAAAGTGAGGTTTGGGATGGGATGGGGATCTCAGAAAGAAGAAAGCGTTGGACCAAAAGTGGTATAGGGAGGAGAAAAGGAAGAAGAGAGGAATTCTCAAAGGAAAGGCTAGAGCGCAGACGGGCCATCTGGTGTCCTCCACGAGAAGGAGGCAAAGAGGCAAAGAACCAAGGCAAGGTAATAGCGATAATTGTGAGTGTAAGAGCATCAACGTGGCATGAACCACAAGTAGTATGAGGAGAAAGCGAAAAGAGGACTTGAGAGAGCAAGAAAAAGAGATAGCCCTGAGAAGACTGGGAAGTTGCACAAAAGAGCGGAGTGTAGAGAAAGAAGGAGGAATATCATGAAGTTTAAGGAGAGTCTGCAACTCTTCCCAACCTTTCCCCTCCTCCCAGCGGTCAGAAGGATTTTATCATGTCCTTTGATTCCTTCTTCCCATCCCTGTCTCGTTGTTCTTTATTCGGTGACGAGGAGCAGTGGGCATGATATTCAGCCGACAGAGCCAGATTTAATCGCGGACGAGATTCCCGGGGCTCTATGGGTTCTGAGATGATTTGGAGATAATATGAGGAGACCCAAACAGTTTCTATTCAGAAGGTCTTGCTGGCATAAATAGAGACTGCCAGGCCCTGGGTAATTAGCTTGTGTATGTGTTCTTTGCGCTGAATGTATATGCTCGACATGGTATCTTCTGCGCGAAGACGTAAGAACACTTCACTCACTCACCTGCGCCACCGGTATCTCGAGTCACCCGAGAATATAACAGAAATCATCAAATAATTGGGCAAACATGTCGTACGAGAAGAGAACCGTATGTGTATTTGTCGAAGCACTAACCGCTAGACCAAAAACGATATATCGCACTAGTCAGCCAGGCGACGGAGAGATATGTGTCCCAGCAGTATTCGATCTATCTGATCTTAAGGGGATGGTTGTATGTTGAGGTTTGGAAGAAGTGGCGAAGGATAACTGACATGAACGTCTTAGCTGAACATGAAGCATAACTGCACATTGAGAACTTACTCCACGCCTCAGCATGAGGATGTTAAAGATTATACCGTACTTGATGCCGCAATACTTGTTGATAGCAATGTTGTGCAACCTATGTGGAGCTTCGACTACAGACAAATGGATATTGTGTCACGGGTGTACTACAAGTAAGCCATGGAAGGAGCTAATCTGCCAGGAAGTCGCGTCTCATGCCAATCCGTCACGTAACATCTCCTAAAGAAGCGAAACACTCAATTTGCGGGAATTCACTTAATTTTTTTTTTTTTTTTTTTTTTTTTTGGTGGTGGTGAAGAAAGGAAAGCTAACTGGAAAACAAACTTAGCCATCAAACAATCCACCAATAGTGCTGCTAGTGATTCAAGCGAACCCCCCAGCATAGCAAAACCCCCCACCAAGAAACCCCATCACCACCGTGAAACGGCCATCAAGTCCCAGTTCCTTGCAAGCCAGCATCGGCACATTCGCTGTTTGCAGATACATTGGACGGATCTCCCTTCCATCAACAACCCTCACTTCAGTCTCATAAAGAACTTCTTCAATCAGATCAGCGCCCAAAATCCTGCGTCTGGATCCACACGGGTAATACGCTGGAGTCGCTGCACATTGTGCGCATTGTCACGATCCTCTATAACTATTTTTCCTTGTAGAGCTCATCAGCCGTGAAACGAAACATGTGGAGGACCTCCGACGTTCCACCGCCGGCCAGCTTTGCCGCATTGCCGATGTGGTCGAAGTAGGATGGAATTTCTAGCATCGGTTTGCCTTGACAGAGGTCTTCGTTGGTGCTAATCCCACCTCCGTGGGTGAAATAGATGCGGGTATGGGAATGATCCAGGATCGACCGTTGCGGTTCAAAGAAAGAAATATCCAATTGGCGTGTTCTCCGTCAAGAAATTTCCCAATGCTGATTGTTTTTTCTTGGATAGTGCAAGGTTTTGCTGCGTCGAACAACTTCCGTCCGCTCTTACCCACTGACCAAATTAGGCCGTCGACAACGCCTTCTTTCATGGCGTGGACGAGACCTTGAATAATCTTCCGAGCATCTGCATGAGGAAGAATAGTATGCGTCCCCAAGGCGATAAAAATGGTCTTCAGGGGGCGGTCAGGGAACTTCTGGTGGAGGAGGTCCAATGGAGGGTACTCATCTGCTTATATTGGTCCGACTGCTGCGACCAAGAGGGAAGGTCTTTGGTCACTTCCAGACCGAATGAAGAGTTGACTGGAAGTAGATAATCAGGTTTATTCGGCGTTAGCTAATCAGATCCGATTATTTGCGCATAGCTTTGGTCCAGCTCGTTAGTTTCACCACTTTGGAGCAAGGTTCGCACGACTACAGGTTCTTTGCTGATACGCGACTACATTGATGCATTCTTCGAAGTTAAGATTATATCAAATTGGAAGCCTGGAAGTTGGGCATGTATATGACCACGGTACCATCAAGTAGGGCATCTGTGACCAGCCAATAACAATGGGCACCTTGTACTCCATTCGGGCGTTCTTGACCGTGTTGACGAAGAATTCAGCTACCAGTATCTCCGCTCGTGTGGCAGGGTCAATTCTGATATTCTTCAGTCCGTGGTAAGTCTGCGTCCAGGGAGTATAGAAGGAGTAGTTGGACTCCATAACATCCCCAAGAACTCTGGCCAGATCGCAGGGCCGACTGCGTTTGTAGTGCACATCGAGTTGTTCCTCTGTCGGCCCAGGGGTCCCGGGAGATGCGTCAACACACTTGGGAGGTTGCTGGCCTATTCACCTTTACTATTGACCGTTGCGAAGTCGACTACATGCCATTGGGGCCAGGCTTTTCCCCACTTTTTGAACGGAGGCTGCGACAAGTGATTGGTATTCAATTGAATTCTCCAAAGCCAAGCACCACGCAAATCTCGCTGGTAATATTTCAGGTAACACCTTCATCAGAGTAGATGTTCCAATTTGAGCGCTCACTAAGTTTTCTTCATATCGTCTTGCGTAGCGTAGCAATTTCGTTTGGGGGTATCGTCGAACCATAGTCACAAATGTGCTGACCGCGAGAAATACGACGAGGAATAGCCCGGCGTTTGCGTTGGACGCTGAAGCTGATGAGTAGGTGATGAAGATAGACGAGTGGTCGAAAATATTTGTGGAAGCTGGTAGGGAGCTCTACAATCACTAAATAATTAGCGAAGCTAATTCTCAAGATTGTTCAGGGGCAGTCGAGGATAACAAGACATGTCAGAAGCATGCCACTGTCTAACCGGCGGGTAGCCCTCAGACGAAAGCGAATAACGTCTCCCTCCCATCTGGTATAAGCTAATCTAAGCGACTCCTGAAACGCCCTGCAGTCAATAATAGACCTGGCTACGAGCATATTGAGTAAAATATTTCCCTGTTCGAGCCACGTGGGCGACGGAGGAAGGAACTCGCCGCTGATGGTAGTCTCGATCACTTAGTAACAGAAGATTACTAGAACCTTCACAAAATTGAAGGATAGGATGCATAGGTATAGGTTACCTGTCCAGCAATCTGGTGATCAGTTTGATATTGGAGTGGGCAGAGGTAGGAGGATAGCGATGGCGTGCAGCAAACAACGCAGATCGGAGTGACTCTTCTAGTATGGAGACAAAAGTCTGCTTCATTCTCCACGGTATTCCTAGACACACTTCCAACTACTGTAGTTCTACTAACATATCGATGAGAACTACTTCAGCATTAATGGATACCTCTTACATCTACTCTCTACCAACACCGAAACAGGCAGCGTAGATATTGGAAGTTCACAAACCAACGAAGCTCCTCTCTACTAGATATCATCCCGTCCTGTTTGTTCAACAACAACCCAAGGGTCATTCCTCCAGTATATACGCTTATATACTTCTCTGAAATGAAGAAAGAGTACCCATCATTTCCGTCTCGATGCCGCCTTGGCTATGACTATTCCCAGTATCATCATACACACAAACATGACCACAAATACCATGGCTACTATCCGACAGCAGTCTGCATGAGCTTGTCGTCTTTCTCGCCGATTGATAATCCGCTCGCACACTTCGCAATGTGAGTGCTCTTGAGGGGTAGCGCCCGGAATCAAGGACGTGGTAGGCCCGTCGCCATGATCATGCTCATGGAACGGTGGGAGTTGGATTTCGGGGTCATCGATGGCTTGAGTGAGAGTGGTATACTGCGTGTATGTGCCTTTTTAGTATACTATACTTCATCACTGAGTATCGGTTAAGAAGGAATCAGGGAAGTTTACTGTGTGATTATGGCGGCTAGTCGATTCCGTTTCTTCATATGGAGGAGTTGGTTCGGTTGGTGGTGGAAGGCCCATATTGAGGTGATTTGTGTTTTCTGGTAAATTGTAAAAGGCTTTGCTTCTTCTTTTTTTCTCTGGGTTATTGATCAACTTGATGAAATATTATGGGAGTATTATCTACAATTCTGGGGAATGGTGCTGCCTGGGACAGCCTTATGTGTAACTAACTGGGTGAGTGGGAAGGAAGGATTCGGGGCGCAGTGCATGTGCCATGCACAGCCACAGAGTCATAGTGCTGACTATACTATATGTAAGCCTCTACAACGAGTTCTATGCTGGGGGTCATAGGCTACTTTTGTAAAGTCATGGAACTTAAGGGTAGGGTCTGCTACGTCGGATGGATGCTTGACAACTGACTGGCATTAATTGTCGGTATGCCATAGTCCACAGCTAGCAGTATCATCTTCGAATGAGAAGATACGTACCATTTGGATGTTGATGAGTAAAAATAGTTCATAGTGTGTCGTATGGACACTAAGTACACTAGCATAGCCAACCCAAAGACAAGCATCAGAATAAGAAGCAATAGGTGCTGTGTATTCGATTACTTGTGAAATTGGCATGAGTAGTATAAAAGCATCAGGCATCAATATATGATGCCTTAAAGCCTCAGGCCAGTGACAGCGGCTCCTCTGAGCACGTGCCTTCCAGCCCGCATCTGCCGAATGCCGATATGATATCAAACAAACGATAAGGCTCTTATCGCGAATGTCTGAATGTTATCAATTTGGTTTTTGCCCCCGCCACCCCACTTTCCTTGGAGAATAGATTACTAGAATCAAATGGCATTCGAATGGCTAATAAGTCGGAAAACTCTCATAGACAAACCAATAGACTGTCTGAAGAGAGAACCTTCACCGGTTTTCTATTCATGTGCAATGGCTGAACATCCCGCGTGATCGTGCAGTAAACCCTACGAAGGGAAATCTGACCCCAAACCCAATCTTAGCTCCGGTGAACCGCGAACCCACATCAAGAACATTACCTAAATAAAATTCTCTTTCTCCCCGCGTTCCCCTCGCTCAATCTGGCCATTCCCCCAGACCAGATACTACCACTCCTACTACCCTGGTCATAGTCCATCTCCCCTTAGATCAATCCCAGTCTGTCAGCTACGTCATCACCAACACCATGCCCGACAAAGACGCCGGAACGCCCCGTGTTTTCCTCTACCGCCATGGTACCCCTCTCTCCACTATTCATCAAAATTATGAGTCCCCACTAAGAATCCCACAGGAGAGACCGAATGGTCCAAAAGCGGCCGCTACACCGGCATCAGCGAAATTCAGCTAACTGACGACGGAGTGAAGCAAGTGACCGCTTCCGGCAAGATCCTCGTAGGAGCTGGTAAGCTTATTGACACAGCTAAACTGGCTCGTGTGTATGTGTCTCCGCGCCAAAGGGCAAAGCACACCTTTGACTTGGCCTTCGGGGAGACCGAGAAGCAGGGTCTGAAGGAAGCTGGCAAGGTGGAGGAGACGGAAAGGCTGGCAGAGTGGGGTTATGGCTTGTATGAGGGGATGTTGACCAAGGAGATTCGCGCGCTGAGGAAGGAGCATGGCCTCGATGGTGATAGGGCGTGGGATATCTGGAGGGATGGATGTGAGGAGGGAGAGTAAGTCATTCCTATAACCATGTTAGATCCGGTTCTTTTCTGTTCGAGAGGCTAACAGCTTTAGATCACCTGAGGATGTTACGGTCCGAATTGATAGCCTGATCGAAGAGATCAGAGCTCTTCATCGGGGAAACATGCACGGAGAGGCGCCCTCCGATGTTGTCCTCATTGCGCATGGCCATACGCTCCGGGCGTTTACCAAGCGCTGGTTGGGCTATCCAATGGAGTTTCCGTTGTCCATGATGCTGGAACCTGGTGCTGTGGGAGTACTTAGGTATGTTTTTTCCCGTTGTACATGAGTGGATTGCTAATGGTATCTGTAGCTACCAGCACCACAGCATTGATGAACCTGCTTTCCTGGTTGGATACGGATTTCCCTTGGAGAAATGATGCACTTAGAGACCACTGCTTTATATGGAAAGGTCGTATAGATGAATGAATACCGGATTTATTAGACAGTCCAGATAATTCCACCACCAACCTAACGGCTCCGTCACCACATTTTAAGGTATCCGAGGAAAGAGCTACAGACACTTCTGCTTCAGCTTCATGATGTTCCTGCTTCCTTCCCTACAATGCCCTTTCCTGTTCAATCTTCTCAGTCTGCTATATCTTCTTCTCGTCCCCTTGATATCCTCTCTTCTTCTTTTTCTCCTCCTCATACCACTTCTTCGTTCAGCGTTGCTTGTTTGTGTTCTCCCCCCTCCACCACAAGCGTTACTTTGTCCGTTGTTTTAGCTGCCTTGCTTTTCTCTTTCCCCCCCCCTCCCTCCCGAATGGAATCTTCTTCTTCTGTTCGTCGAGGACACCAGATGGCCCGTCTGCGTGTTCCTCAGTCCTCCCCCTCCTCTTCCTCCTCTGTCCCCCCCAGCGGTCAGAAGGATCCAGCACCTCCTTCTGTTCGTTCCGCTCCGTCTGTGCCCACAATGGTGAGCACGTCCTCTCGTTCTGGGGTGCCTGCCCCCACTGCCCCCAAGTACTTGCGTACAAGCAAGCACTTGTCCACTCCCTCCCCTGTGGCTCCTCGGACCACGTCCTCTCATTCTTCTATTCCCACCCCCGTCTCTCGTTCCTCCATTCCCACCCCTGCCCCTCGTTCCCCTGTGGCTAAGGCCACGTCCGTTCCCTCTCCCCGTCCCCTTTCCGCGGGTGCGTCGTTCCTGAAAAGGTTCGACGAGAAACACCCAACTTCCACTCGTTCTATCCCCGTCCCTGTCGCTCGTTCCCCTGTGGTTCCTCGGACCACGTCCTCTCCTTCCGCCCCCCAAAAGACTAGTGCCAACGGCCATAGCGCCACTTCCCCTCGTTCTTCTCCTTCTGTGGCTCCTCGGACCACGTCCTCTCGTTCTCCTGTGGCTCCCAAGGCCACGTCCTCTCCCTCTTCCTCTTCCCTTTCCGCGGGTGCGTCGTTCCTGAAAAGGTTCGACGAGAAACACCCATCCACTCGCTCCCCCGTGGATCTTCGGACCACGTCCATTCCTTCTCCTGTGGCTCCTCGGACCACGTCCTCTCGTTCTTCCATCCCCGTCCCTGCCTCTCGTTCTTCCGTGGCTCCTCGGACCACGTCCTCTCCTTCTGTGGCTCCCAAGGCCACGTCCTCTCCCTCCCCCCGTCCCCTTTCCGCGGGTGTGTCGTTCCTGAAAAGGTTCGACGAAAAGCACCCATCCACTCGTTCCCCCGTGGATCTTCGGACCACGTCCACTCCTTCTCCTGTGGCTCCTCGGACCACGTCCACTCCTTCTGGTAATAGTCGTCCGTCTCGCCTTCAGGCGTTGCGGGAGGCGTATTACCGATCCCGCGAGGCCAGGGCTCGATCCGATGCAGCCCTTGCGTCCACCGAGGATGGAGCAGCTTCGGCTGCGAAGTCCGCGGCTCGCAAGGGTAAGTCGGTGAAGAGTGTCCAGTTTAGCGAGGTCACCACAGTCATTACCGTTAGTCGGTGGATTATCAAAGCGCGCGATATCCACCGTTGCTGTTGGTACTAGTCTTTTTCCCCTTTCTTTCCTCCTTGTTGCAGGCTTTTCCTTGAGCACTCTCGTTTTCCTGTATATTTTATTTTTGTATATTTATCCATTGCCCCCGACTTGGCTGTGCTGGAGCCAGGTCGGGGCCCTTTACTGCTAATGGCCAGGTCACAGGTCCGAGCGAGAGACGACATTGAACGCCATCCACGAATGATCGAGCCGGCGACAGGTTCACCAACATCGATTCGTACCGGCTAACCCTCGGGTGCTTACGAGCCGCCGGCATTTCCGACCCCGCTGTGACACTAGTTTCCGGTACCCCGGGTGTCTGAGCAGAGGCATCTCCGAGAATGACAGAGGCAATCGACCTGATAGCGTTCAAGTTTGGCGGTGGATCTGGGCTTTGTGTGGGCAGCAAGGCTTGGTGAAGTTGTCATCCACGCTTACCGGGTATCGATCTGGCCGGCGGTTCAAAGGATGCCCGAGCGACGACATACACGGTCAGTATGTCAGCAGCTAGCCAGCGGGCAAGGGGTGTCGGTAGGGCCACGGTATCCCGGGGGCGCGACAGAGGCGATCGATGGAATCTGGGTCGGAAACGGTTCGCGGGGGTTGTTCGTCGGGGGATCCGGGGGGCGGTGGTTGGGGGGGTTTCCTTTGTCTTTCCTTTGTCTTTGGCGATTGGCATTGGGCGTTCGTTTTTCATTGCATGTGTTAAGAATCTGTTGTATATAATGCTTGCTTGCTGACTTGCCTGCTCGTCAGCTTGCTTGCTCCTTGCTTCTCTTTGCATGTGTTGAGACTCTATTGTACATAAAGCTGCTTTGCTTCTTGGCGGTTATTTCCTTGCATGTGTCGAGAATCTGGTGTATATAGTGCTTGTTTGCTTCTTGCTTTTCTTTGCATGTGCTGAGACTCTATTGTATATAAAGCTACGTTGCTTTTCCTTTCATTCGCCTGTGTTGAGATATCTCTTTTACATAGAGCTGCGTTGCTTGTCGTTTGTTCTTTGCATGTGTTGAGTCTCTGCTGTAACTAAAGCTGCATTGCTTTCTGGCGTTCATTCTCCTTGCATGTGTGGAGTCTCTGTTGTAACTAGAGCTGCGTTGCCTGGCGTTCTTTTCTTTGCATGTTTCGAGACTCTTTTGTATATAGAGTGGCATTGCTTTCTGGCGTTCATTTCTTTGCATGTGTTGAGATACCTCTTGTACATAGAGCTGCTTTTCTTGCAGGCGTTTATTTCCTTGCATGTGTCGAGATTCTGTTGTATATAGTGCTTGCTTGCTTCTTGCCTTTTCGTTGCATGTGTTGAGTCTCTGTTGTAAGTAGAGCTGTGTTGCTTGGCGTTCGGTTCTTTGCGTGGGTCGAGACTCTATTGTATCTAGAGCTGCGTTGTGGGCGTTTTGTTTTCCTATTTCCGGGTCGGGTGGGTGGGCATCTTTGTTTTCTTCTCTTATGTTTTACTGGCGTTTTTTTCCTGTCTATGTCGAGTGTCTGCTGTAGTTAGAGCTGCGTTGTGGGCGTTCTGTTCTCCTTATTCCGGGTCGGGTGGGTGGGCATCTTTGTTTTCGTTTTTTTTTTTTTTTTCTCTTGCGTTTTGCAGGCGTTCTGTTCATTTCTTATAGGGTTGGGTGGGCGGGCATCTTTGTATCTTCCTACGTTTTTCTTGCATTCTCTCCGCCCCTTTTAGGGCTGGGTGGGTGGGCATCTTTGTATTTCCTATACTCTGCCGTTTTCGTCTTGCATTCTCCTCGCCTCTTCAGGGGTTGGGTGGGTGGGCATCTTTGTATTTCCTTATTCTTTTTTTCCTTCTTCTTCTCACGCTACTTTGTCTCTTCTTGAGTTTCTAGGGCTCACTGGATGAGTATCTTTGTATCTCCGTTACCTTTGGGTTCCGGCTTTTTGTGCTTAGCTAGTTGGGGCTGCGATCATAAAATGATACCCTGTTCCCCGCAAACCTCTATCAGCGCGATCGTAATCTATTGATCTAGTGAGATATGAATTGTTGCTCTTTGGAGGTCTCGGCAACATCCTTTGCAGTGGCCCCCGTAGATATTCGTTCCCGAATTAAGAGGGTGCGTAACGAATGCCACCAAAGACCACCTACATGACTGCACGGGCCTACAAGCTGTCATGTTCCGCTGGCGTGTGGGTTAAAAGAAGGTTATCGATAAGAGATACCCGTGACTTCATTGTCCACTGCCGCTGTGAACCGGGGATGCGAGAGAAAGAGCACCGTTGGTAAGGACATGAACAGTCTGACAGTTGGATATTCGGCTAATGGACATAGGAGTCATGTGGGATTGCTGTCGAAGTAGAAGTGACAGGAGTAAGGAGGAAAGGGGGCAAAAAAGGATAAAAAAGTGAGGGAGAAGAACGAGTTGTATGGATGTAGAGGGAAGAAAAATGTATGACAAGAGTGGGATTCGAACCCACGCCCCTTTCGAGACTAGGAATGCTCTGAAGAACATGGATGATCAGGTGACCTGACCCTAGCGCCTTAGACCGCTCGGCCATCTTGCCGGTTGATGAAAATTAGTTACCAGTAAGTGCTATATGAGCTAATCGTCGTATATGTGAGAAAAGCACGCTACGCGGTTGGCATTGAAGACTGGATAGTCATGATTTGCACTATCAACCTAAATTATTGCATGTAGCAGCACCTAAATCACCTCGGCTTTGTAATATGTGCTCGAATCTGTTATTTTAGATGCATTTACACTGTTGGTGCTGATGTTGACATCAAGTGGCTGATTGACCTTTTGGGTTGGTATATATACCCATAGGAACCTACAGTGCTACTAAAGGCAGTCGTCCATCGATTCTACACTTCAGCATCACCCACCCTTCAGTTGATCCGTTGAAAGCATGAATAGTAACCTGAGTAATAATATACAAAAAATACGCTCAATGTACACAAAAGGTGAAATCCGCAGGATGTACATTGCACCAGCATACAAGCAAAGCTACGCCGTCCCTGAAGGCTCCGCCAACAATGCTATAGCAAACCCAATCACCAACAGGACAGATGCCACCAGAAACGATTCCAGCAAAACAGCTGCAGCAAGAGAGATAGTACTATTAGTGTATATAAACGCTACAAAGGCATTACCAAGGAGACAGCTATGGTAGCCCAGCAATAGATTCCCCGTGCCATGTTTACTTCCCAGCCGACGGCAGAATGCCCACCCACACCGCAACGACAACACCGGAAGGTCCTACATAGAACAAACACGATAGTCGGGGATAAAACTCTACTAAGAGACAATTGAAAGACAGCATAAAAAGAAATAATACATCTTCTACAAAGTATTGCCTTTGAAAAAAGCAAGCAATAGACTAGTAAACTAGTTCGCATAATACCCCACTGCATGCGGTCGCATCCTGGTTGTGAATGTTATAGTATGACTTTGGATTATGTATGGAAAAGTTGCTGCCCCTTTCAACAATTGGGCAAGATGGCCGAGCGGTCTAAGGCGCTAGGGTCAGGTCACCTGATCATCCATGTTCTTCAGAGCATTCCTAGTCTCGAAAGGGGCGTGGGTTCGAATCCCACTCTTGTCATAACTTTTTGCATTTTTGGCGACTTTACCCAGTACAGTCGCTTAGCTGTACAATGCTAATTAGAGGACTATATAAATCTGTTTACAAGGCAGGTCAAGGGCACCCCTTCATTTTTGTCAATATGTAACCACTACAACTGTGATGTGATCGGCATTGCTGTCCTTCCCTATACAGAAAGCACTGCCGAGACAGCAAGGCCGACATTGTCGAACGGGAGATCCTTTCTCACTACCGCCGAAGAATTACCCCCCACATCTTCTCTTTACCTTGCTAGCCATACACTCAGTTCTCAATTTCAGAGCATTCCATGCCTGTCTACGAACATTAGTTCACAATAAACAGCCGGCCATGCAGGCTAAAGCCCAAATGAACAATGGTCATAAATCAGTTCACATTAGCACATCAACCATCTCATACTAGTCGGTTGGTTTCCTGCAACCAACTGAAACTAACGGCACGGACTTTCTTCAGGCCCCTTATAGCTCAAAACTAAAAATCGATAGGCGACCCTCTCGAAGAAACACCCCCCAACACTATGCGCGGCCCAAGAATTCGTCAACAACCTGCAGGTACTTCTCGCGGTCGTCGAACTGCGGGCAGTGCGAACCCTCCGACAAGGTGATCCACTTCACCTTATCAATACCCCAGAAGAGCGGTTCCACGGCGCTGTCCTGCGCTTCATCATATTTACCATTGATCACCAAAGTGGGAACTTGGATCCGATGAATGTGGTCCAGTGCGCTCCAATTCTTAAGAGACCCTTCGACCCAGAATTCGGAGGGACCGAGCCTGCTGCCGTTAGCACGTGGCATCATGGAAAACACGGAGTATAATGGTAGACGGAGAAAGAACTCGGGCAAGTGTGCAACATACATGCTGGCAGCGACGGTAGAATCCTTCTCCGTGGTCCAGACGAGACTTTGCATAAGCTCCTCGGGCCATGGCTGCGTCCGGCAACAGAATCGGGATAAGAACTCCACCGTTGCATTTTCATATTCCTTAGAATCGAGCCGTCCTTCTGCTTCACATTTTTGCAGCGTGTCTTGAATCTCTTGGGGTAGGGTAGCGCGGAGTCGGTTGACCGATTCAAGCCACACTGCGACCGAGGCCGGAGAGTTTGATAGGATCAGACGGCGCAGTCCAGCCGGCTGACGAGCGGCGAAATCCATCCCCATCATCCCGCCCCAGGAATGACCCAGCAGATCAAACTGGCCAGCAATTCCCAGATGCTGAAGCAGGTTTTCCAACTCCGCGATGAATAGGTCGACCGTCCAAAACCCCTGATCGCCGCGTTTCTCCGGATAGTGGGAGGACAATCCATTTCCGATCTGATCATAGAGAATCACGGCACGATCGGAAGCCAGTGCAGCCAGGGGCAGCATGTAGTTGTGGCAAAAGCCCGGGCCGCCATGCAGAACTACTAATGGTGTGCCTGCCTTGATGTCGCCATAGACTCGGTACCACGTTTGGGCAGGCTTGGGAAGACTATCATAATGGAACGGAGCTGTTCCCTCCTGAATAGTACTTGCCACCATACTGGGAAGATCGACGCAAAATGATTGTCAAGACAGTAATAGCACGGAGTAGTGATAACGTGCAAAGAAGGAGGAGGGGGTGAAGGTTCAGACAGAACAGCCTGGTCTTGAGTTTGACACCACCACACCCGAGAGATTCCCCGAGGTTAGCCCATGGCCCGGCCCCTCCAGCTTGTGAGACAACCCCACCAGCACTATATCACTGTCATATTGAACTTGCGTCAATTAGATAACGCCCCGGGCAAAGTCCGGGGTCTTTGAACGTCTATCAGTCAGCACACAGTCTTCGAAGCATGTGTGGGATGGGTCGGCGGCTTGATTGAGCCTCCGATTTCAGGGGTCTCTCCTGAACTGTGTGCCTCACCCCCTAGCAATTTGGCCCCTATATAAAAGTGCGGCACGCAAGGGAGAAAATACTGCGTGATGCAAGCCATGAGACGGCGCCGGTTGGTGGGCTGACTACTGCGGCCCTAGCGGATTTAGACGCCTCCACCCCGATCCTTCGTCGGGGTTAGGATCGCCGGGCTGAGATTGCTAATAATCCAACAAAATTCAAATAAAAAAAGATCGAACGAATCCTTCAGGTCGCCTTGCAACTACGATGCGTTGTTCCCTTTTATCAGCCTGGCTGCTCTTTCTGGTCCCAGACTCGCGGGATGCAGCCCAGCAACAGATGTGGCAGTCATGGTTGCGGTCACTGACGCCAATCGGTCCCCTATCATAGGGATCCTAGCGTTGCTTTTCGCCGTCATTTCGACATTATCTGGGGCTGCACGGCTGGGGATCAAATATGCCATCACTAGAAAATTTACGGTAGATGACCACCTGATCTCGGTATCAATGGTGAGTCTCAAAACTTTCGTTGGCGTTTCAAGCCCTAACTCCAACGCAGGCCTTCAGTGTGCTACAGACAATATGCATTACCATCGCCGCGCGCAATGGCTATGGGGAGGCAGAAAGTGCTTCCTCACAAGAGCGAATTGATATAGCTCTGAAGGTACACCATCCAATTTCTCCGGATTAATTTGTCGCTGACGCAGTCAGTCTGTTTATGCCGCAGAAATGCTATACGTTGCAAGCTTGAATTTCTCCAAGCTGAGCGCCCTGGCATTCATGACCTTTCTTATGCAGCGCACCCGCAAGGTTGAATGGATACTCATTGCATTGATCAGCGCCTGGGCCGTGGCGGCGGAATTCGCCGTAGCTTTCCAATGCGATCTTCCGCAGCCGTGGAGATGGAATCAGAAGAGGTGTTTCAATCGAGTGAGATACTATGCACTTATAAAAACCGAAGAATACAGACTAATCTCATGGTCAGGATGCATGGTGGATGGTTTTCGGGGCGTTCAACATCCTAAGTGAAGTCGCCCTGATTCTAGTACCTAGTATGCTCATACTCCGGATTCAAATGGCGGTCCCTAGGAAAATAGTTGCCATCGCCTGCTTTCTCACTCGCTTCTTGTATGCTAGCTGGTGACAACCCGTTCGACGTTCGTGGATAGTAACTGATGCCTATATAATAACAGGGTCATCGTTGCGATCATTCTCGAGCTTGTATATCGCCATCAAAACAATCACGCTCCAGACCCCTTGCTGGCAATTTGGAAGGCTGCCGTCTGCGTCCAGCTAGTACAGTGTCTGTCAATTGTCATGGCCTGCGCTCCGCACCTGAAGCCGTTCATGGACGGATTACAGTCCACTGGGCTCCGATTATACTACCTTCCAGGCGAGACGTCTGAACGCGGAGAGTACGCTCGCGTGAGCAAAGCGAAGGCTGCTGCACACGAGCTTAGCGGGCACGTTGGGGTAGCCAACAGCACCGCTGTCTCGGCAGGGAGGGAACAGCAGGATTGGGACGATACTATGAGCCACTCCAGCCAGGATCATATCATTCGAGAGACTAGAACCTGGGTCGTAGAAGAGCAGTATAACCCGGATGCTGCGACAAACCGACCGATGGACAATGAGTCCAATGGCAGTCATGGACTACACGAATCAATTAGCCATTAGAGATCGCCTTACGCGGTACTATATACATGCATTACGACTGGACGAAGTATTCCACATTCAGATTGAAATTATTCCGGAAAGAAGCAGCGGGTTGGACGATCTCCAGCCGTTCGCTGAGAGCACCTGGCACTTTTTTAAGGTTTTCAAGTTGCCTCAGCTTTCCCGGACTGTGGACCTTCAATTATTGTTTGCTTGTCTAAAATCTCTAGTTTCGGACCGGAGGCTGGCCCGTAATCCGACGGCACGAAGCCTAGCATCCCGGAAGTGGAAGCTTAACTCTCCCTAGTAAGGCACCGAACAGGGTGGACCCGCCACTAAAGACATGCAACCCGCCCAAGGATCCAGCAGGATTGCGCGGTGTTTGATCCTGTTAGGCCATGTTAGTGGCCCTAACAATGCTAACTATCGGGTGGCGCCCTGCAGCTTGACATTCTACCCCCCCCCCTCCTCGTCAAGTTTCCCTGGTTGATAAAATTGTTTTCCTATGGAGTTTAGACACACTGACCAGTGTCAGTTATCGAAAAAATCCGAACGAGCCCCTGTTAACTCGGTTGCGGCCTTTTGTCTCCGCTCCCCTTTTTTCTTTTTCTTCGTCATGCATATGCAGCCAAGCCAATTTTACACCGGATAAGACAGGGATCAGAAGACGGGAGGGATTAGTCGAAGGAACAAGCTTTGCTCTCAGTTTCCTACTCATTCTGCTCTTACTTCTACCTCCTGCAGTCGAGAGGGTTGACTTCGGGCATCTGCACAAATAAGTCAACGCCACAATGGGGCCGCCGATTGAGTTGCGCGACCGGAATTTGGATTCCAAGGCCGCCAACAGCAGCCAGTCTCAAGTCAATGATGAGCAAGGACTGGGCCGCGTGGGCAAGAAACAGGTCTTGAAGGTGCGTGGTAACCTTAGGTTTGTGTTTCCGCTGTGGCTTACCAGTGCTTACAGCGTCGGTTTGGTTTCTTGTCCATATTGGGTTTCAGTTGTACGGTTCTGGCATCCTGGGAGGGCATTTTGTCGTGCGTATTCTCCAGTCAACGGAAAGATGGTGCGTCGTGTCTTTATTAACTGATGTTTAGGACGTTTACCGTACCATTTGAGGAGTATGTATCGACTCTACATGAAGAGATACTTTAACCTAACAATGTCAACAGTGGAGGTCCTGCTGGAACGGTCTACAGTTTCCTGGTCGTCTGGTTGGGTACATTTTCAACGTTTCTCACGCTGTCTGAACTGGTTTCGATGTAAGTCCATCGACCTGATAACTAACCGCCTCGGACTAATATGCTTCTATGTGAAGGGCCCCTACTTCCGGAGGACAATACCACTGGGTATCGATGATGTCCCCGCGATGGTGCCAGAAGTACCTTAGCTTTCTCACAGGTTTGTGTATTTACCCAGCTTTCTCCGCTGCTTACCATACTGATATAGCTACTTTAGGATGGCTAATTGTCATTGGCTGGCTGGGAGCATTTGCATCAACCTGCTATCTAAGTGCTTCCCAGATTCTGGGCTTGGTGGTCCTGAACCATTCGTCCTATACCCCGGAGCCCTGGCAAACAATGCTTCTGTTCTGGGCCATTGTGGCTTTTGCTGTGTTCGTCAATGTTATTACCAGCACCCTGTTGCCCAAATTTGAAGGTCTTGTCCTGATCTTGCACGTGTTTGGGTTCTTCGGGATCATCATTCCGTTGGTTTACCTGGGAGATCACAACTCTGCTTCTGAGGTCTTTGGGCAGTTTGCCAATGATGGTGGCTTCCAAACCCAGGGATTAGCCTTCATGGTCGGTATGATTGGTAACATGTTTGCCTTTACCGGTGTGGATGCGGCTGTCCACGTAAGTTTTCATCACCTTCAGCCTCCAATCTCCTCTACTTGACTGACATACAACTGGGCAGATGAGCGAAGAAATCTACGATGCAGAGCGCGTTGTCCCGCAGTCCATCCTCACGTCGGTTCTGATCAACGGAGCTCTGGGCTTTGGAATGATTCTGTCCACATTGTTTACCATGACAGACGCCACCGCCGCACTAGCCTCACCCACAGGATATCCTTACATGCAAATCTTCTGCTCAGCCACCAAATCCCTCGGGGGATGCACCGTCATGTCAGCCATCGTCCCCATCCTAGTTACCGCCACCGCTGTGGGCTCATTGGCATCTTCCTCTCGCATGGCATGGTCCTTCGCCCGAGACCGTGGTCTCCCCGGATGGCAAGTGCTCAGCAGGGTATGTCTCCCGTCCTCGCCATCTCAAAGCAATCCACTAACCCAACCCTAGGTCAACGCCCAAGCTGTGCCCCAATGGTCCATCCTCGTCGTAACCAGCGCAGCTGTCCTGCTCGCACTGATCATCCTCGGCTCAGCAGCGGTCCTCAACGACGTTGTCTCTCTCTGCGTCAGCGCCCTCTATTCTTCCTACCTGATCTCGGCCTTCCTTCTAATGTGGCAGCGGCTCACGGGCGGTATTCGCGAACCATCCGATGCACCCATAGACACAGTTGTGAACACGGCAGGTGCACCTCTTGCCTGGGGCCCCTTCAGAATGCGTGGCATATTGGGTGTTTCAGTGAATGCCTTCACCATTGCTTACCTGGTCGTGGGCGTGTTCTTCAGCTTCTGGCCTGATGAGATGAATCCGACGGCTAGTACGATGAATTGGGCCGTTGTTGGTACCGTGGGTACAAGTCTGATTAGTACGGTGTATTATGTTATTTGGGCGAGGAAGGAGTATACGGGACCGGTGGTGGAGATTAATCGGGATTGAGATGACATGAGTTATGATAGATGGAGATATAAAAGTTGCTACAATCGGTACACAGAACGGCTCTCGAGTCCTTTTATTGGTCCCTGCTTCCATTGCCAAATCATTTACGCCGTGTCAACTTGGGAGAGTAAAACATGAAACGCAGAGTACATCCGACTTTACCCCATCGCGGAGCACTCACACCCATTTGACTCAATGGGAACCGGCAACTCTACTTCGTCTCCTGAATAAGCGCCGCAATATTCTCCCTCTTCTCAAAGGCATCCGTAAACCTAACAAGCGACTCGGGAAGATTTGCCTAACCAACGATTAAGAGTGAGCCCTCTTTCTACATCCCCTCGAGAAAGAACAAAAAATGCAAAGGAAGAATCAACATACCACAATAGTCCCCGTCCTCCGATCATTATCCATAATCTGATAAATAGCAAAATCGGCATACGTAACCTTATCCCCTAGAAGATACGGACCCTCCGTCTCGGCGTAGTACTTCCCCACAACATCGTAGTACTTGGCTGTAGATTCGTTCTTGTATTTGTCGGAGGGTTGCATGAAATTGGAGACCCATTCGCTCTACATTAAAGTGTAAGCACTAGTGATATAGGAGAGTAGAGGGGCTACTCACCCTCCAATCAATGTAAACATCCGCCACCGCATCAACGATATACTTCTCCCAGCTTGTCTCGCCATCGTAGCGGCCAAGGTCGCGGGATAGGTAGCGGAGGGTGGGGATATGCTAGATCCGCATTAGATTATCCATACAATGATAATGGACTCGGGGAATACGCACCTGCGTCAGAATCTTCCCCTTATACTCAAGCGCCGGGACCAGCCCAGTTCGAGTGATACCCTGCTCCTGCAGCTGCTTGCTAACCTGGGGCCAGTTTTCATCATACGGGTAGCGGACTTCGCTGAATTCGATACCGGCGTCTTTGAGGAAGAGTCTGTTTCCATACATAGTAGTGCTCTGTGGTTAGTGGATATTGATGCTGGGAGATGCGGGGTGGGGGTGTGGAGGTGGATGCTGGCTGACCTGACGACTTCACCGCGGCCTAGACGGCCGATGTCGAGGTAATGGTAGACTGTTTGGGAGGATTGGGTGGACATGTTGAGTTATAATTTGAATAGGTTTGTTTGTTATAATTGGAGAATTTGAATTCCAAGTCAGAGACAGGTAATATGGCGTGGATTGAGTACGATTATAGATGATGTCGATTGAGGGGAAGGAGTGCTTACAAATGAGGGCAACCCCGCAGGGAAGGGACCTCTCGGGGGATCCACTATATCGCCGACTTACTTGGTGTTGAAAGCTTGGCTCGGTCAGGTTGGTCAATTAGAAGATTTTGGACCTGTTCCTTATCTAGTATTGGAACATGCTAGCGAGTGTGGTAGAAATCAGAATAGCATCGTATTGGTGAGTTTGGTCCGACTACTATAGAATACGAGGTGGACTGGTTCGAATTCAAATCATATACGGGTCTCTAGTATTATCTCTCACCTCTTATTTGGGCTAGCGTCGACACATGCAATGGAGAGCAAATACCACTCTTCCATCGTTGCAGAAACACGAAGTTGATCCAGCAATCTCCTTTACTGACATCATTCCTTACAATTAATGACGTGTTACGTCGAGATAGGATCCCAGGAGTGCGTAGTTGAATGCAATTCAAGCTCTGAAAGTTTTCGTTTCGGAGGTGGTTTAGAGTTATTTCAGTGTCTATCTAATGAGGTTGTTTGGCGACCATGAAACAGTAGTAGTTTGTCACCTCGTCCATGACCTCTGCAACTGTCCCAGATTGTCTGGTGGGGTGATCATCAGCGGGCTTACCCGCAAGGTTATCAGGAATGCGGCCCGAATAGTCAATCGAAAAAGAGGAATAGCTGATCAATCCAATAAGAGGACAGCGATTAGATTGTTTCAATTGATCATGATGTATAGTCTTCTGTCTGATACCAACAGGTAAAGGGAAAAAAAAAAAAAAAAAATGTTTTCGTGTAGCTGGGAGGAAGGAGGTTTGCTAAATGGCAAAAAAAATCAAAATGGAAAAAAGAAAGCCCAACGCGGGGCTCGAACCCGCAGCCTTGAGATTAAGAGTCTCACGCTCTACCGATTGAGCTAGCCGGGCTAGTTCGGTGAAAGACGCTTACCATATATGCTCTATGTGGTTTTTTAAAGGGTCCTGTCGTATGCCTGCTCTCACCAACCGGTTGAACACTCTCACCAAACCTCAACCTCTCGCCA